TAGCCCCTTCAGGTACTGGAATGGTTTAATCATAGAGGTAGAACAGAGGTCACGTCTCTAGTATTAAACCAAGATTTGTCTCTGCGCACACACTTAGTTTTGCCTCCCCACCGTAAGTATTTCTGCGTGCACTATCTTGGCTCCCAACGGCAGCGTGCTTGTTGAAGGAAGTCTGCAGTCTGATAATTTGTTTTGGGGTGACTTGTCACTGTCTTCAGTGGCCTGAGTCTGGGCCGGTTCTCTTTATTCATCTTTTTCTTGACACGACCCACATCTCTAAGACACAGATGTGACTTGCAGAAGGTTGGACACTGGTTTTGTGTCCTGACTTCATGTTACGGTTTTAACTCTTAAACCTACCTTTTTCTCCCACACAGCTTGCATCTCCAAGTATTCTGCTGGATGCATCTATTACTATCCATCTTTCCATCGTAGCCATAATCCCGTTCAGGCTGAAAAGTTGCAAAAAGACCTTAAACGATACCTTACAAGAAAGATTGGATTTGAAGCAGTTATGCGCATAAGATGTACAAAAGGTTGGTTTTTAATACTGGTTCCTATGGAAAAGTTGGCGTAAGCATGGCAGCTGTCGTTTTCACCGTGCTTAGTCCTTAGCAGTGTTACATTTCGGGCTATTGCTCTTTCACTGAAGAGTGACATGATCACCTTCTTTATAGAAGTTACGTTAGCTTTTGCCATTGGGGTTTTGGCTTTTACTGAAGATGGCACCACCTCACTTCGAGTAAGCTGACGTGTAGCGTAAGAGCATCATTCAGCTTGGAGTGTTCAGAATTGAACATGAACTCACTGTCGTGCTGAAATGTCTAATGGTTCACATAATTTATTCTGCATGGTAGTTACAAGAAGTATTTTTACTCTTTCCTTAAGCATAGCTTGAGGGCTGTGGGTTTTAACTCTTGATAGGGTTTTATCATGCTGTTTTAACCTCAGTCTGAATTATTTGATGTGCTCCTAGGTCTTTCAATACACACTTTTCATGGGAACTTGTTCGTACGATCTACTGATCTATTGTCCCTGGCCAATGTCAATCCTGATGCTGGATTTGCAGTACAAATGTCCATCGAGGAAAGTCTGACCGACACATCTCTGGTTTGTTTTCAAACAGCTCTTTTGTATACCTCCAGCAAAGGTAAATAAACTCAAATAAATTGGCCACTGGGGTTCCTTGTTTCTTTCCTAACGTAATGTTTGTACAGTTAGTTTCACAGCCCCATGTCCTCTGTACCCTTAGAGAGTCTTGTCAAAGCTAGCGAGCCTACATGGCAGTTAATCACATAACGTAAATCTTTATAAACTCTGCTTTGATGGGAATATGTAATTTATCTCCATCTTACGTAGAGCTGATTCAGCGACATTCCTTCGCGTAAAAGGCCTACTGTTGGTACAAGCGATAGCATGTTTGGCACGCGCTTTGTCCAAACTCACAGGCCTGTGATGGGTTGGAGCGAGTTGGAAGTACGTGGGGTGGGCGTAAAGAATAGCAGCGACTCTCTGTTGTGGAAGATGCCACAAACTTTTGGGATGGAAATGAATGTGCTTCATTTGTAAGATCGAGACGCTGTGGATGTTACATGCTAGTTGGTGTTATGAGCTTGTGGTGATTAAGCTGAATGCTGTAGAGGGTGGCAGAATTTGAACAGGTTAAGAGACCAGAGCGGGAGATGGTGTTACAGCAGTTTTCCGACTGGTGTGTTTTTACAAAAAGAGTACATCTTAGAGGAGAGGAGATAGGCTGTACTGACTGAATTGATATGCCTCTACCGGGAGATCCTGCACAATCATTTCTACTTATTTTTACTAGGAGAACGTCGAATTCGAGTGCACACGCTTTGCTTGCCTGTAGTAAGTTCACTGGCTGATGTATACGCAGGAGCAGATGTACAAGCAGTTGTATGTCTCTTGGCAAACATGGGTGAGTACAGACCAGGAAAACTCAATGTTTTGAACGTTGTTCATTTTGCCAGAGGTTTATATGAAGTTGTGGATGAAGCCTGCGTATTGCAGGAAAAGGTTGGAGTAGAGCACCCTGGAACTTGAGAATACGAAATGGCAAAATCAAAGTTATACCAAAACTGAAATATTTCTTAGTCTGACTACTTAGTTGACTTTCATCTTCTAAAAGGGGCCTTCTCATGTTGTTCTCTAGAGTTAGCTAAAGGACAAAGAATTCTAAGACACTTGGTTCAAAACTCTCATTTTTCTGTCATCGTCATGGTTGATACAGTGGTGAAGCACTGGGACAGGTTCCCAGAGAAGCTGTGGATGCCCCATCCCTGGGAGTGTCCAGGGCCAGGCTGGATGAGGCTTGGAGCAACCTGGTCTAGTGGAAGGTGTCCCTGCCCATGGCAGGGGGTGGGACTGGGTGGGCTTTAATGTCCCTTCCCACCCAAACCAGTCCGTGATCCTGTGATTCCAAGTGTTTCACTGTAAGCATGTTACATTTCTTAATGGAAGAAATTTCTTGGGAGGGGGGTCAGAAATAGTTGCTGCAAATCTTACCTTGCAGGTAGGACAGCAGAGAGCTTCATCAATAGCAAAGTTATTTCTGTAAGGCTTAACACAGGATTTATATTTAGTCAAAAGTATATACCACAGCATTAAACATTTTTTTACATTCTCCAAGAGCAGGAGTTAGGGAGATCAGCCACTCGGTGTTTTGTAAGCATCATGAAAATGAGTTTCTGTTTGGGCGATTGTCTTGTATACTCCTAAAAAATGTTAGGGCAAGAAGTGTAGTTTTTTTGGTTGTGTTTGTTTTTTTTTTTTTTTAAATCCTAAAATCACAACGACTATTCATTTCCCTGAATTTTGAAAGTGAGACCAACTCCAGTAACTTCTCGTATCCCCCTGACCCAACAGCTGTGGATCGCTCAGTTTCCTCCAGCCTTGCCGATGCAAGAGATGCCTTAGTCAACGCCGTGGTAGACTCCCTGGCAGCGTACATGTCAACTGCCTCAAACCTGCAGCAGTCCATGCTGATGGCACCAAACTCCCTCAAGCTCTTCCCCCTGTATATTTTGGCCCTTCTCAAACAGGTGCGTATCATCTGGATCCGTGTTTGGCATTTAATTCGCTGTTCCCATCTGAGCATTCTTAGCTCTGGGTCAAGCCATGTCTGCACTTCTCTGCAGTTACAAAACCTGGGTTGTCCTTTTCGAGCGAACGGGACTTCCACATAAGACGACTGTGTGTGAGCGTGTTTCAAATGATTACTGCCTGAACAGTTTGCTGGTTTACCTGATTTTGATTTATTTTTATATTTTTTCTTACATTGTGTTACAGTGAAAATAAAAATATATATTGTAATGATTAACATTTCTTGGATTTGGCAGCTAATTGGTATTGCCCATAAAGGTGGTTGGAAGCTGCTTATTAGTACTTCTTCATTTTTATATTACAAAGGAAAAACAAGTCAAATTTCAATGCATAGGCTTTGTACTTCAATGGACCAAGGAGGTAGATGAGTTTACATGGAGATACAATTAAATCTAACATAAAAGTGAAAGTGATGGAGTTTAAAGTTCACACGGAAGTAATTGCTACTTTTTGCTTATTTTTTTAAATATCTTTGCATTACGAAACATCACACATAAAATTGAGAGAGAACTTACTGCAGAGTTTTGTTACCAGTAAATCTCTAAGATTTTCATGTCTGACCTTTCTTTGTTGTCTTATCATGAAAAACCTTTAAGAAATGCAATTACAGTACCTTGTGTTTTTGGCTTAGTGACTACTTCAGTCTGTAGTACCCTGGACTTTTTAGCTTTGTTGTAGAAGTGAAAATGAGCTTGGATTATAGGAATATTCCCCATCGAATCCGCCTAAGGTGCCAACTCCATAGTGTTTGTTAACTGATCGCTTATGAAAGAGGTCTGAAAAATCCAGTAGGAATTACAGTACCTTGTGTTTTTGGCTTAGTGACTACTTCAGTCTGTAGTACCCTGGACTTTTTAGCTTTGTTGCAGAAGTGAAAATGAGCTTGGATTATAGGAATATTCCCCATCGAATCCGCCTAAGGTGCCGACTCCATAGTGTTGCTTCTCACAGCGGTTGTTTACCGATCGCTTATGAAGGAGATCTGAAAAATTCAGTAGGAAAGAAAACTACAAAATAACATTTATCCTATGAGTGCCTGGTTTCTGCTCTAAAATGTGAAAGTAGCTTCCCCTTCCAAAGCTTTTCCTTAACATCTAATTCTTACTAATATAAAATGAGAATTAATCTTACCTGCAGATGTATCTTTTCTGAACTGTGCTGCGCTCATCTCTTCCTGTGATACCTTTCATTGCTGAGTTTCACAGGCCAGTAACATTTTCAAGAATAACAATGAGAAATGCTGGCCCGAAGTGAGGGGAAGTTATGTTTATTCTCTTTCGTCAGCAAGGAGGGAGTATGGATTAAGTTTTAAAAGGTGTTGTAGTGTAGCTGCATTAGATGAGGCTTCTAGCATATCTCCGTAAGACACATTTCTTCACAAAAGCTTTGCCATCTCTGCTCGACACTTTCAGAATGAAATGTCTGAAATGACACCGTGGAGGTGTGACATCAGACACAGGGTTTAGTAACACGGCTGTTCTCTTACAGAAGGCGTTTAGAACAGGCACGAGTACGCGCTTGGACGATCGCGTCTATGCGATGTGCCAGGTGAAGAGCCAGCCTCTCGTGCATCTGATGAAAATGATACACCCCAACTTGTACAGGATAGACAAGTTGATTGATGAGGTAATGTGTGAAGCCTGGTCTGTAACATTTTCTAGTCTGATAAACCTGGTGCTGTGCTGCAGTAATTTGAAGTTGTTACTGTAATGTAAACTGGGCGTTTTCCGTAAGTTTTTAAAATAATCAAGAAAACCATTTATTTTCGAATTCTGAGTTGCAAATACATTGTCTATGAGCAGAACTGGGTTTTTACTTCACCTTCTTTCACTGACCACGATAATTCCATGTTTTCATATTATGCAAAGAAAGGCAGAGGAGACTATGCATTGGAAACACCTTCAGCGTGGTTTAGAATTGTCTGTAAGGGAAACAGGTGAAGTAGATTTGGTGGAGGATTCTAGGTTGGGTGGAGAGAAACCAGACCAAGTTGCCTGCAGTAACAGAGAGGCAGTGGTTTCTCAGACTGATGTGAATGAAACAGAATTGTACTTGTAGATGGTCATGATCAGACTCAGAAAATGCTGCATCTGCAAAACCAAGTGTTATTAATTTGCCTGCCACAAGGTAGTTTAGGAAATTGATGTGCTTTTAATAGTAACAAGGTGGGAATTTATTTAAGGTCAAGGTTAGTTGCAGTTGCAAAAATAAGTTGGTTTTTTGTAATAAGTTTTCATGAGGTTGTTGGTCACTGGATTTGGAAAAGTATGTGTAGGAGTTGGTTTTTCAACTGTCATACAGGATTATATGGTAACTTGAGCCGTCTCTCTGGCAGTTGGTGTTGTGCAGCGCAGCCTGCAAGCTGTTTACACTCGCAACGTTTCATTGAAGCTATTCCATTAGCTCACGGACACGAGTCTCGATTCGGTGTTCCGCAGTGGAAATAATTAATCTTTTCAGACACGCCGTCACCTCCCCCAGTGCTCAAGAAGCCAGCGTCTTCAGCTGAGCTTGGGTGTTGTGGAACTTGTGCTGAGACACGATTCAGTGTGTGAGAGCTGTGAAGAGCCAGTGGGGTCTTTGAGAGATCCAGATTTATTAGCCAAGGATTTCGGGTTAGGTAGTTCTAGTAGAATAATACAGAAAATAGGCTTATGTGGCCTACTGGAATTAATTTACAAGCCACATTTTAAATCACAGAATGGTTTGAGTGGGAAGGGACCTTAAAGCCCATCCAGTTCCAACCCCCCTGCCACGGGCAGGGACACCTTCCATAGCCCAGGTTGCTCCAAGCCTCATCCAGCCTGGCCTTGGACACTTCCAGGAAAGGGGCATCCACAGCTTCTCTGGGCAACCTGTCCCAGTGCTCTCAGTCCTTCCCAGGAAGAATTCCTTCCTGATGTCCCATCTCAATCTCCCTCTTTCGGGTTAAACCCGTTAACCCCTTGTCCTGTTGCTCCCTGCCCTTGTAACGCACACAGTCATCCAGCAGAGTGCGAAGCTGCTGTTTTGTACTACCTCAGTTTAAACTGTTTGTGACAAAGGCTTTTCTTAAATTCCTTGTTTCTTAAGAAAATTCTATGATATCTATTACAGAGGGGTTTTTTTTAAGAACGTTTTTGCTTATTTTCCTTTAACGCTTATTTTCCTTTAACTCTTAATTCTTGGGATTATTGAGTAAAGCTTGGAACTTTCCCAAGTGGCATTCAGTAGCTTCATTTTCATCGTTAGGTGTAAATCCCCAAAAGCTTCTGATCTGTTGCATTCTAATAGAAAATTTTTTTAACTGTGATTTTTTTTTTTCCCCCCAATAATCTTTTACCATGTGTAGATAGGCTTTGTCTCTTGACTTTTATTTTCTCCTAGATTATTTGCAGAATGCTTCACAGATTCTTAAAATATTCAGCCTGGTTTTGTATAGGAGGGGGAAGCATCTTTAATGTGAAAATACTGTCAATGTGAAAATAATGTTAAATGAACTTGCATTATTCTTTTTTTATAGGTGATAAAGTAGCCTTTAGGTTAAGTAACATCCTGAATTTTTCATGTACATAAGCATTTTAGTCTTAACGTGGCATTTTGTTACGTGAGAATCCTCATAATTTTGCTGGAGATTAACAGTGTTTTCCTCAATTATTTTACCTGATTAAGATAAAAACCAGGATTTATTTATATTGTAGCATTGCTGAGTACTGTTTTTTGTTACAGAGTACAATACATGTAAATGACAGAGTTGTTCCCCAGCCACCTCTTCAGAAACTGTCTGCAGAGAAGTTGACAAGAGAAGGAGCTTTTCTTATGGATTGTGGTTCAGTAAGTTACCAGCTTCACACTTTCCTTGTTATTAGATGTGCTCTGGTGAAAAGTTTACCTATTTTGGTCAGTGTCTTTGAGGTTGCATATTAAGGCTTCAGAGATTAATGTTTTTCTCGCTAGACTGATCAGAACATGCAAGCATTCATGTCAAGTTGTTTTGGGTTTTTTTTCTGGGAAATAATGGATTTCCATTCTCCAGAAATTCTCCTAATTGTATGTACTACAGCCTCTCTAACAAAGCACTCCTCATTAATGCAGGAGCTGTCTCAGTTACACACAAATCATAGAATCCCCAGAGTGGTTTGGGTTGGAAGGGACCTCAAAGCCCACCCAGTCCCAACCCCTGCTATGGGCAGGGACACTGGCCTTGGACACTTCCACACTGGACACTTCCACACTGGCCTTGGACATTTCCAGGGATGGGGCATCCACAACTTCTCTGGGCAGCCTGCCCCAGTGCCTCCCCACCCTCTGCAGGAAGAATTCCTTCCTGATGTCCCATCTCCATCTCCCTCTTTCCGTTTAAGCCCGTTACCCCTTGTCCTGTCACTACAGGCCCTTGTAAAAAGTCCCTCCCAGCTTTTTTGTAGCTTCCCCAGGCACTGGGAGGTTCTATAAGGTCTCCCCGGAGCCTTCCCTTCTCCAGGCTGAACCCCCCAACTCTCCCAGCCTGTCCCCATGGCAGAGGGGCTCCAGCCCTCAGAGCATCTCCGTGGCCTCCTCTGGACTCGCTCCAACAGCTCCGTGTCCTCCTGCTGTTGGAGGCCCTGGAGCTGGAGGCAGAACTGCAGGGGGGTCTCCCCAGAGCAGAGCAGAGGGGAGAATCCCCTCCCTCGCCCCCCTGGCCACACTTCTCCTGATCCAGCCCAGGATCCGGTTGGCTTTCTGGGCTGCCAGCACACACGGCCGGCTCATGTCCAGCTTTTCATCCCCCAGCACCCCAAGTCCTTCTCCTCAGAGCTGCTCTCCATCCACTCTCCACCAGCCTGTCCTTGTGCTGGGGTTGTCCTGACCCAGGGGCAGGACCTTGCCCTTGGCCTTGTTGAACTCCGTGAGGGTGGCACGGTCTGACCTCTCCAGCCTGTCCAGGTCCCTCTGGATGGCTTATCAGTGAGTTTATAGTATTATAATTACAATAATAACATATTGGTGATAAGTGGGATTATGATTTGTGGCTGATGGGACATGAGTTGCAATGATGAGGGAACAAAATCTGTAGGTACAGTTTAAAAGTATTTGTAGGAATTACGCCAAAACACACTTAATGGGATAAAGCATTATGCTAATTGAGTGATGTGATAAAATGTGATGCTACTAGGAAGTCTGCAGTCTAGAAAGTGCTTTACACCTTGTGTGAGTTCAGGGACTGCGTGAATATCAAACAGCTTCCATCTCCAGATGTCTGAAATAATTAGTCACGTGTTTTGATAACTGGTGCTTTACTCTGACTTGTTTAGCCTGGGAGGTCGTTGTGCAGTAACTGACAGTGGCATGATGTCATAAAATGTTAGGGTTTTCATTTTAGGGGTAACACGGTAAGTTACTGCATTAACTGTTCGATACAGATGTGCTCTGCATCCTCCTCCTTTCAGTATTTGCATCATACCCATATTGGTTTTGACATTTAACGATCTTAGTCCCAGTGCTACCAACGTATTAACCACTAAATGTGCAAATAATGACTATGGAGATGTAGAATGCATTGCAGCTGGAGCTCTCAAATGACTCATTTGCATGGAAGGTGTTATTCTGCTGTTACGCCAATTACATCACCACTTAGCTCGGTGTCTAAAATGTGTGCGAAGCCTTTACTAAAACTGATTCTGACATCTTACAGATTTTTTACATTTGGATTGGGAGAAACTGTGATAACAACTTCATAAAAGATGTCCTTGGGTACCCCAACTATGCATCAGTACCACAGAAAATGGTAGGTGTTTGGGCGAGCTGTGCTGTGTGGTGCATACACTTGGAATCTGTGTCTGAGCTGTTCTTTCTGCGTTTTCAGGTTTTAATTATGTAACTATGAACTGGGGGGAGGAGGTTATTTGGTACCTTTGAACCTCTTGCCAGCTTGATGGGTGACAGACACAAGTTATCAAATGCTTTCAAGGGAAGAATGTAAATGTGTAAACTTTGGTACCTGGAATGCCAAAAAAATAATTTGCTTTTTTTATTTTTATGGAAATACATGTGGGCTGATAAGAATAGGATGGAATTCCATAGAACAAAGACAGAAGTAATCTGTTCAGGTGTGTTAATGAAGATTAGAGTTACTTTATCGCGGTTCTCAGAAGCCTTGGGGTCTCCGAATCTGGTGTAGGATACCACGTGTGGGGTGTGGAGTGATCGGCCTGGAAGTAAGGGGTAAGAGTTAAGTTTTGCGCAGCCCCAAGCCTTGAGTCAGTGATGAAGAGAGACGCTTTTACCTATGAGAACATCACAGGCCCTTAGGGGTGTGTTTTGGTGAAGGGGGTTTATGTTACCACCTGTCCTGTGGTGCTGTGTGTGAAACAGCAGCAGTTTAAGAGAAGACCCCTCTTCTGTGGGTAGTGATTCCAGAATGTCAGCAAGTGGTGGGTGGGATACTCTGGAAAGGTCGGAATCGAATGTTTATACTCAGGTAGTACCAAAAATGTGGTGTTTGTTGTAGGCACGCGTAGGCAGATATTTGCTGCTTATAAAGTTGACGTTGTATGAAGAGGAGAAGTGAGAAGTGAATTCCAAGAAGCAGGTTAAGAGTGGTGAGAGTTAAGGCTGCCGTAAAACGGGACTGGGTGTTTGCAGTCTGGTGTTGTGCTTGGATGAGCAGTTTAAAACTCTCCCCTCTGAGCAGCTGGTGGTTAAGTATTAGTTGACAGAGTGTTCAGGAAGAACGTGGATGAAGGAAGGATGATAACTCTTTTCAGTGGTTATACAGCGTCTGCTATAAGGAAAATGAGGGAAAAACCAAACACTAAGGCATTGTGGCTTGGGTCATGCTTTGACTATCAGGATGTACTTTTTAAGTGGTTTTGATAATAAAAAATGACGACTTCTTTCCATTATCTTCAACCAGACGCAGCTTCCTGAGGTGGATGCACTTTCTTCCGAAAGGACACGATCCTTTTTATCTTGGCTACAAGACAACAGAACTCTAAGTCCAATTCTTCAAGTAATAAAGTAAGTATTCATTAGGTACTGAGTAATTACTGGCAAGTTGTAATGACAGTTTCTGAATGACATTGATGAAGAGTGGGAATATCTGGCCTGGTAGTAACTGAGTAACATCCTCTTTCCAGTTGTTACAGGGCTGTTGTCTAAACCCCCTTAGCAACAAAGGTCATCTTTGCATCTAGTGCAAATTCAGTCACTGGGACTTTTACTGGCGGGAGTCTAAAAATGCCTATTTTTATACAGTTGAGCATGTTCTGGAGCAGTGGATGTCCTGGCCAGTGGGGTTAACCAGGTTAATTTCTGTAGAGCTCTAATAATACATATATACAGAAAAATTCAAATAAGGTTAATCATCTGTAGGTGGTTTAATAAGTGTGTTTGTCACTGAGTTCTGTAGGACGGGGGTTGATTTATGACAGATGAGGCAAGTTCTGAAGCCTTTTCAAGCCATGACCGGCCTAAAGAAGTTGCAATTCTATAGAATGTTTATACTTGAGTTGTCTTCCCTGGAGTATTCTGTTTACTGAGGCGGGTGGGAGATCCCATTTGAGAGAGGATGGGGATTTTCTTGCTCGGATATACAGTGTTTGCGTGCAGGACGGAAGCTCTTCAACTGTTGGCGTTGTGGCTGCCGCTGGAATTGCGACTCGTGCCAAGAGACAGGAAATAGCCGGACTGTACTGTACCAGTGCAGGGACTGGGCCCCAGCAGTTCTCTGCTGCGTCCCGGCAGATTTTTACTGGGGCAGTGATTTTGGGTGCTCGGTCTTTGACATGTTTACCTTCTCTGTTCTGTGGCCCAAATAGGAAAACTGGGGAAGGGATTGAGTTTTTGTCTAACCAGAGATGTAGATTTCCCATTTTTTTACATCTTTATCACAATTTTATTGGATTTAATTTCAGAGTTTATTGCCACCATTTGTTAACTTCTCAAAAAAATGATTTTTGTTTCCTTTTTTGTGTTTCTACGAGGTATTTTAAGTGCTATTTATCTATTTTCCTACCATTTTAGACTTCTTAAAAGGTGCTGTTGTTTGATAGTGTATTGCAGACTTCAGGGTTTTTCCAAACATTGGATTATTTGCAATTGTCGAATCTTTGGACTGAATCTGGACTCCAGAGGACAACAAACAATTGATTAGAGTTTATGCCTCTGCTTGAATTCACAGTAGATTGTTTGCTCGATGTTTGGACTGAAACACCTTCCTCTCTTCTTTCAGAGATGAGAACCCTGCCAAAACAGATTTTTTCCAGCATTTAATTGAGGATCGGACAGAAGCAGCTTTCTCGTATTATGAATTCTTACTTAATATTCAGCAGCAGGTTTGCAAGTGAGCAAGGAGTAAATAGAAGAAAAATCAGATAAAGCGTGGGCCGAGAGAAGCGTGTGGGAAGTTAACGAAAGCGGATGCTTGTTCTTCACAATATACAGTGACCAGCCCTGTTTTGGAAGCTTTGCAGCTAAAGAAGTATACGTTTCCAAACGAATTTTGCAGATTTACTTCAGTCTAAAAGCGCTAGGAGTGATGAAGCTGTCTCACTAGTAGCCTGTGATCTGGTCTCTACGCGTTTCCAGTCGTGCGGCGGTATGGTGCTCTTTGTTGCAAGCTGGTGAATTTATGTAGCTGTGTGGGATGGTATTTCTTAACGAACTGTACAATTAGGTAAAGCCTTTTTTCGTACCTTTATTACAGTAGCCCTTCCAGATCGAAACCCTTAACAGAGATGACCAAGGGCGGTGATGGCTGCTGGATCTTTATATGAGTTTCTTTTTAAAAGGAGTGATCCCTGTTTACTAAAGACTTCAGCGAATTCCCCGTGAAAGTTGTAGAGTTTCAGTAAAGTACACCAATTGTAGAAATAAAATACAGAATGTACATAAGTGTTACATTTGTAAAGAAAATGTAAAAAATGTACCTAAAAAAAAAAAGGCAAGACTTAGCTCAGTGTGCAGAGTGGTGGGGTGCTCAATGATGAATTGTTTTGTCCCAGGCTAGACAATGACGTTGGCTATTAAAACCTGCTTCAAAACCCAAAGGTATCCACATGGAAGGAACACAGCTGCTGCTTCTGTTCATTTTAGGTGAATTTATTTATGATTGGCTTACTAATTAAAAATATTTTGCTTTATCCTGTGTTTCTATATTTATGCAAGTATAATCCTTTTGCAACTGAACTCTGAGCGGAGTACTGAAGAGATGATGTTTACCACTTTGTTTCACAGACCTCTGGAAGGGAGGAGGAAACACTGCATAGTCTGAGCTGTTGGTGTCAAGTTCCTAAACCCCTTCTTATGTATCACCTTAGGGAAGCGTACCTGTTAGCCCTGTTCCACGTTTTGTAAGCTGCTGTAGTCTTGGTCCAGGTTTCTGTAAGCTGTGTTGTCTGCCATTCAGAGTAAGCATGGGTAATCGCTCACACACACCTGAGGGTTTGATTTCTGCTCTCATCTAAAGGAGAAAAAGGGGTGTAAAAATTAATTCCCTTACATCAGTGAAAGTAAAGGCTTTAAAAAGTCAAAATTCAAAGTGTAATCACACTGCTGCATCTTTCTGGAACCTTGTTCTTGATAATGTTTTGGTCACTCAGTGGTCTGAGTTTTTTGATAGGTTTATCCCAATTTTTTAAATGTGGTTGTTAGGTTGGGATGGGTTTGGTTTGGGGTTGTTTGTTTTTTTGTTTTTAGAGACACATTAGAAGTCATCCCTAAAGCACAATCACTGCTACTTAATATTCTGCCCTTTGTTTGATTTAAAGAAATGTGACTACAATGAACTAATCAAGTACAAAAAGTTAAGTTATGGTTAGTATGATTACATTTTATTTCAGAGTAGCCTTGCAAATGCTACCATTGCCCTTCAGCTGCCATAGCCCCGAATCAAATAGTCAAGAAAAACCCCCAGTGCACTAGCTATGGTTTGCAAATGCTTTCAAAGCTACACTAACAAAATTCTGCAAGTGGTGTTATTCTGCATGTTAGCACAAACTCATTGTTGGGAGAAGATACCTGATACGCTGTACTTGTGTGTTGTCCTTAACTACATGTGTTTCAGTTACCCAAAGATCATTTAAGAGAAACTTTCCGTTTAGTAAATTAACTTACCGTGTAATAAATGTCCGAGGTGATGCTGACTGTTGTCCCTAAATCAGACCTCCAGGATTTCAGTGCTCGTTTGTGGAGGAGTTTGCATCGGGTCAGAGCCGAGTGGGGCATCTCACTCGTGGGTGATTGAGGATGATGACGTGTGACCATTCTAAATGCCCCACGATAGATGCTTCTAACTGGTGGGCTTGGTATTGAATATCTGGGAACATACTATGCCACGACGAATTGCAACGTGTTCTGTAAAACCATGACTTAAAGCTTTATTCTTCTATGGGTTTTGTATATAAAAATTATGAAAAGGCCGAGAGCTATTTGTTCAGTAAAATTATTCCACGGCACAGAGAATCCAGGGTGGTTTTTTTAACTAATCATAGAGCACATCTCCATTCTGACTGATCTCTGGTTTAGATTCTGACAAGATAGTCTCGTGGGAGTATCCGGAATGCGGAACATCTCGGGGTTTATCCGTTGTGGTGTTTGGAACAGTAGAGTGTCTGTCGGCATGGCAAACGCAGCTAGAAGCCCGTTTTACTTCCGGTGGCCTGGATGTACCCGAAGGTACGCTCCGGAAGGATAATCCCTGCCAGGGGGTGCGCTGCGACGCTCAACAGCCCTTGTGCCTGCTGAGGAGTTGGGAGATGAGCCCTGCTTTCCTGTCTGAACGCAACGCTGAACTCTCCAGAGGTGAGCTCTGTTTCAGGAATTGAACTTTTCCCAAAAAGCCTTCCACACTCTGTAATATAAATTATTATTATAATGATTATGATAATTATTTCATTAGAAATTTAAGGTTTGCTGGGGAAGATGTTTCCCAGCCCAGCTAAGTCAGTCTTCGGGGGATCAGTTCAAATTCTCAGCGTTTTAAACCCCTTTCCATGTCTTGGCTCTCATCTTGTACCCCTTCTGCCAAGGAAGGAGCAGGGGAGTTCCTGTTGGAGAAGTTACAGTCCAGGACGATGCTGCAGCTCCCGGGGAGTTATTCCTAAGCCGGAGTTGGTGTTTTGTCCCTCAGCGTATTAGAACTACTCCTGTTCGTTGATCTGGATGTGGAGCTTCATGGGAAGGGAGAAAAGATGAGCAGGTGACTCGGTGTGGCTTTGGTTTTCTGTGCATTTTGTCAGATACTGAGAAGATGGTTCTGGCATTACCACTGTGTGTAAAAAGCCAGTCCAGCTGTTAGGAATCCTGAGAGTCAGGAGCTCTTCAGTAATTATAAACGTGGAAACTTACGGTTTTTTCAGGCCAAATACATTTTAAGAATGCAAAATATTGAAGGAATGGGACAGAAGTCGATTTAGGAAGGAATAGTTACAACCCCAGGCACCGATTGCTGTGGTTACGGGTAGTAACTCATGTGTAAGTCCTGGAAGATCTCCTGTTTCACGTTTCGGTTTCGGGGTGTGTTTTGTCCAGGCGCTGTGTGCTGACTGCGGGCGGGACGTAACCCTGCAAAAGCGCCGTGGCCAGGTTTGGTGGTGGCGAGTTTGGAGGTCTGAGGCTCTAACTGGCGATGCATTCATGGAATATCCCAAAAATGCATCAGTTACCTCAAAAATTACCAGGTTTTTAAATTATTAAATCTTACATGAGTCTGGTAGTTCACTCTGTTTAAAAAGAGGGCCGAGGGGTGTCTGCACACACTGCTGCTTCTCAGATTTTCATGAAGGAGGTAGAATATTATCGCACAGAATCACGACGGTCAAGTTCTAACTGGAAGAATTTAATAGTAATACCTGTTGGACCCAGATAATTCTGAGATTTAGTATAACGGTGTCGAGTACAGCTGTGTTGGGAGCTGTAAAAGGGGGTTAGGCAGACTGTACTTACTTACTGATGTCATTTCTTTACCTGTCAGTTCCTAGAGATTTTTAAAAATCACATTTCTAGCAGCTTTCGCTTCAACTGACATTGTTTTTTATGAAGAATTCAAAGGGATCCTGCTTGAGTGTAGCAAGAGAATTCTCACACGATTAGTGCCGTGTAAAAGAGGTGATTACGAGAGCAGTGAAAATAACCACATTATAGGTGTTTCTTCAATTTATGCTCCAATCCTGATTTCTCACTGATTTCTACTTGCAGGCCCTTTGATGTCTTTTCCTTTGCAGTTTCGATAACTAGAAAATACCAAATACTTCAGGATTTCTACTTATTTTCCTTTGAAGGCCCTTAGGAAAAGGGATGGAGCTGCTAATTGGGAATATCAGCCCTGCACACGATTTCAGCAGTGGCACACTTCCACAGAAGAGAAATACCAGGGATGGCAGAGCTCCTGGAGATGCTCCAGGACCTGTTTAAAGAAAACTGGAAAAGGAGAATGAGTTTTTAATCTTGTTTTTCTTGCACCTCTTTATGATTTTCTGGCTTATATTTTCTTAAAGCTACATGTGTGGGTGGTAGTTGATTTTTCAGATGTTGTGGAACACCACCCTAGAGGCATCAGCAAATGGGGAGCTCTAATTACACCCTTAATCATCTTACCATGAAAAGAAGAGTGACAGTTGTAAGAAGGTCAGGAGGGTTGGAGGAAATAGGGTTTGGCTAGCAAGTAGTCTGATACTCCTCCTCTGCGTTTCTCAGCATGAGGAGAAAGTCTCCGCTGGCGAGACTCCGAGGCTTTGTGGGATTCTTGGGTGAGGGGTTTACTGGCACCAGAGTCCTCAAGCGTGAGGAAGAGCTGGTGGTGATTAACCCTCACAATGACCTGCCGGCCATAGGAATTGTTCTTCTCGTGCATCGTTTGAAAAGGTGGTAAAAAAATTAACGATATTTTAGTGTTGGAACATTGGTGGCGGTGGGGGAGGAATCATGTGGCCAGCAGGGCAAGGGAGGGGATTCTCCCCCTCTGCTCTGCCCTTGTGAGACCCCCCCTGGAGTGCTGCGTCCAGCTGTGGAGCCCTCAGCATCACAAGGATATAGACCGGTTGGAGCGAGTCCAGAGGAGGCCCCGGAGATGCTCCGAGGGCTGGAGCCCCTCTGCCATGGGGACAGGCTGGGAGAGTTGGGGGGTTCAGCCTGGAGAAGGGAAGGCTCCGGGGAGACCTTCTTGCAGCCTTCCAGTGCCTGAAGGATACTGGAACAGTACTTCACTGGGACAGGTTGCCCAGAGAAGCTGTGGATGCCCCATCCCTGGGAGTGTCCAAGGCCAGGCTGGATGAGGCTTGGAGCAACCTGGTCTAGTGGAAGGTGTCCCTGCCCATGGCAGGGGGTTGGAACTAGATGGGCTTTAAGGTCCCTTCCCACCCACACCATTCTGTGATTCTCTGAATATGGGTTGTTGGATTTTTAGGATGAATGTGGTGGTGACTCGGTTTGTGCCCAGCTCTGTCTGTAATGACTAACATGAAGTGACTTAACAAAACCAAAAAGAACCCGTGTATCCAGGTGCGCACGGCTTCCTCTGGGATAATCAATGCCTGTGCTTGTCTGGGGAGTCATTTGTTAACGTTATCTGCATGTTTTGGCCTGTAAAGTTGGGAGGTTTTTTAATTTCAATTCCCACTCCTCCACCTTGATCCATGGTCTGCTCTGTATTTGAGTGAAGGGTCTCCAAGCCGTGCACAGTTCTTACTCGCTCCCAGTTAGTAGCACAGCGTGCTTACGCAGAGGTTTCACCTGGTCCCCTGACCATGAGGATGGCGCCGTGCTGGGTTCTGAACACTCCTGGCTTTCCTGTCCCACGCCGGTGACGTTAAATACACGTCTTCCCACGTTTTAAGCCGCGTGTCGGTCAGAGGCGCGCTGCGGGTCGCTACACCTGAGCGAGGAAAACCACTTAGATAAATACAGGGTTTCTACGCTCTTTCTAACGCTGCAGGTGCCAGACTGAAGGCTTGAGCTCTGTCTCTGTGGCTGATGGGTGCAAGCGGGGTCAGAGCTGTGCCTGACGCGGGTGCTGTATCAAGGGAACAGCTGAACTTTTTCCATC